TTGCTCTGGACTAGTTTCACCTTCAAGATCTATAAGATCAGGAGGAGATGAAATTTATTCTTTTTGTTCACAAGCTAGGCTTGCTACATTACTCGTTTGTTCCATTACTGGAATAGAGACAGTAGAATCTCTTTTTTGTTCAGCTTTAAACAAGCTTACATACTTAATTTTATTGCGAACCAATTCAAGTTCTTGGACCAGAAGTCCTTCTTGCAACTAGAGTTGTCGTAATTCATCCATTATAGATGATGCTTTATCAAGCATAAATCATGCCTGGGAAGCAACTCCCTATTGTCACCGTCTGTGACTGGTTATGTGCTCCGTTGAGCCTTAATCCTGTGAACATTTTATCAAAGGTCGTTAAATTCTCGAGATAAAAAGTCTGCAAGGACGTTCTTGTTTCCTGCAATATGTTGCACATCAAATTCATATTGATTAAGCCACATTTGCCATCTTACAAGTCTACCTTGTTTACTATCGCCTTTCATCTTGGTTTTTAAGAAATAAGTGAAGTTTTTGTTATCAGTCCTAACAGTATATTTATAAGGAGTAAGATAAATTGTAAATTTCTTTATGGTTTTTATTACCGTAAGATATTCCTTTTCATTTGAATGATAATTCTTCTCAGCCGAATTAAAACTTCCTGAGGCATATCGACATATATACTCTTTTTCATTAGATAGTGCTTTTAAAACACCACCCCAATATGCATTTGATGCATCTGTTTCAATGATCAATTGATCATCTGTTTTTGGAAGATATAATAAAGGAAAATTGGTTAAATTTTTCTTTATTTTCTTCATGTAATTAGTATCAATTTCTGACCAATACCATTTTTGATCTTCCTTCAATTTAGCTTGTAGGGGAGCCCTTATATTAGCTAATTTAGGAATATAATCTGAAGCATAAGTTAATACACCTAAAAAGCGCATTAAATGTTTCTTATCTTCAAGTTTATCTGGGAACTTATGAATATGTTCCAAAATATGATTTTGAGGTTTATGAAAACCTTCTTCAATTGTTAATCCTAAAAATTCTATTTTAGTTTTAAACAATTGAGTTTTCTTTTCAGAAAGGATTATTCCTAATCTATCACATTCTTTCAAAACTACTGCAACATGCATATAATGTTCTTGTTCTGTATCACTGAAGATTAGAATATCATCAACGTATACACAACAGAATTTTTCAAACTTTCTGAATGCATTATTCATATGCCTTTGAAAGATTGATGGTGCTTGTTTTAAACCAAAAGGTACCACCACAAACTGGTAATGTCCTAATGGGCATGTAAAAGTCGTTAGTAGTCGGGATTCCTTATCTAAAAGGACTTGCCAAAAACCAGATTTACAATCGAAAGATGTGAATATAGTTTTTCCTTTTAATAAAGATAATATTTCATCTTTATTTGGTAAATTATGACCATCACTGATTGTTTTCTTATTAACCTCTCGATAATCAATAACAATTCTTCGTTTTGAAGTCCCTTTTTTATCTACTAAAAATGCTGGTGATCTATGAGGAGACTTACTAGGAATGATGACTTTCATGTCAAGCATTTCTTGAACTTGTTGATTAAGTTCTTCTCTATCTTTGGGTGTATAGCTCATTGCTTTCACCACAATTTCAGTTTTAGGATCTATCAGTTTGATAGAAGCTTTCATCCAATACTTGGTCTTATTAGGATCAAGTGGATTTTCTGCACAAACTTTTTTCCATAATTTTTCTATTATAGAGAATTTTTGTTGATTAAGAACAAATATGTTTATTTCTTTTCTAAACTCTAATAACCTCTTCCCCCTCTTTTTAAGAAGTGAGATTTTATCAGTAGTTATCTGAACTGGTTCCGGTTTCTTGGATTTAGATTGCTTTTTCATGGAATCTAAATATCCTGGATTTCCAACCCTATATGCAGTTCTCAATTTTCCTATATGGACCGGTTGATTATCCTTGGTAAAGATTATTCTATCAGTGTATTGAACGAAAGGTTCATATAATTGACAGAAATTATTTCCTAGAATAAAATCCATTCAGATTCTTGTTGATAAACAGTTGGAATATGAAATATTTCTCCTGCTATCATCATAT